TGTTATGTCTGGTCTTGCAGTCTCGAGTGACTACTTTATCAAACAGTAGCTGGTGCTTTGCTCCTCTGGTGTTATTACCAATTCTTTTCTGGGCGCTGCTCATGTATTTAGCCATTTAGACTACACTCACCTCCATAGATGCCGCTTCGCAGCCTCCAGCAGCAGCAGTGTACTTCTCGCCAGCACCATCTGATTTGGGCCAGCACTCTGCTACTACTTCTCCACTCACCTTCATGCACACGCCACTTCGCAGCCTCCAACAGCAGCAGCTTTCCTCTCGCTGGCACCACTTCATCTGGGTCAGTGTGCCGAAGCTACTTCCTCCCCTCCCCGCTGTGCTATGGGCCACTCCTCAACAGCAAGACCCCTAGCATGAGCCAGCACCTCTATCACTATTGTTTCCCACCTGTAACATATTATTTGTAATAAAAACTCACTATTTCACCTTTATCGTTATTCTGTAATTTGCATCCAGCTTGCTTCTCTGTCTGTCTGTCTCTCTCACCATTCGGCGAGAGGGTACACAGACATAACAGTAAACTTTATTAACTAGCTTTATTAAGGATCCCCTGCAGTATGCCTACCGGCCCACTAGGGCTACCTCAGACACTATCGCGGCTGCCCTCCACTATTCCCTTTCTCATCTAGAAAATGGAGACCCCTACATCAAAATACTCTTCACTGACTACAGCTCTGCCTTCAACACAGTTGTCCCCCACAAACTCACCCACAAACTGTCCATACTGGGTCTGCACCCCACCCTCTGTGACTGGCTCCTGGACTTTCTGACTGGCAGGCTCCAGACTGGCAGGATTGGCAATAGGACTTCAGCCAGCATTATCGCAACATCAGCACACCACAGGGATGTGCCTTCAGTCCCATCCTCTACACACTGTTCACCCATGACTGTGTCGCTTCCCACAAAGACAACATTATCCTAAAGTTTGCGGACAACACCGCAGTGATAGGTCGCATCACTGGCGGGGATGAAGCAGCCTACAGGAGGGAGTTTTCAGTCTGGTGTCATGGGGCAAGGACAATAATCTCAGCCTCAACACAGACAAGACAAAGGAGATGATAGTGGACATGAGGAAGGAGAGGAGA